TTTTTGTGTTCAATATTTTGACGTGCAAGGTTTTGACGGAAATAATTTTTGTGTTCAATATTTTGAAATTCAAGGTTGTAACGTTCAAGGTTTTGAATGTTCAAGATATTGACATAAATTTATGTTCAAGATTTTACCGTTCAATATATTAACGTTCAAGATTTTGACGTTCAACTATTTGACATTCAACGGTATAAATGGCGTCCAAAAATATAAGTACCATATTATATCGTGTGCCAGTAGTCGATAGCGCCATGTAGCTCTAGAATTTATAAATAGCTGATGTAGATGTATTGTACGTAAATTCATAATTTCAATAATATATAGTAGGTATAGACGGTATAGTTCGTAATACAAGATTGTAGTTATGCGATAAATTTCGCGATAATGATTAACGATTACAAAAATGTAATCATGATTACTGATTATTTTGAAAAATGATTAAACGATTAATAACTAATGTAGATAGTTTGATAAATTAATTGTAATCGATTACGTAATTTAATCGTAGATTAATCGATTACGCCCATCACTGTTTACATGTTATACAATAAGTAAATTTGATGAGATTTGATTGACGGGAGGCGGAAGTCACCCAGTGAAAATGTTGGACTTGATGATTTGGTTTGTAGTTCTTTTCGAGGTTCTTTTGGTCGTCCAGTATCCACAAGTATTCAAATTTATAATATAAAAGCCAGGCTCTGCCAATACTCTGATATGAAAAGCCCAGACTAATTTTAAATTCTCTAAATAAAAAATAAAAAATTTAAGACAGTTTTTCTATTGTAATAATATTTCTGATTTTAATGATTTTCAGTATTTTGTATAGTTAGATTGGAAAAATAGAAGCCGATATAGGGAGCTAGCAACACCGGCCGATACGTACCTACACTCAAAACGTTTCAGCAATTATGATATCCAGATATCCACATCAAGCCACAGAATATGATTTACCGTTACTTGAAACGTTCGTTTTGTATTTCTCATATAATATTGGTGGTCGATACTTGATAAGAATATGATATAGATAGGTAGTAGGTACCCACTATTTTTGAATATTGATCGGTTGTTTTTTTTTGTACTTTATTGGTGGACACCACGTTCTACTACAGTCCCTCGACCTACTTAAGCAACCTATTGTGGCATTTCCTTTTGGGAAATTGATTTATTCCTCAATCATATAACTCCCAATTCAAGAGTTTGTAACTAATACAATTATATAATATATGTATAGTACTGTAGGGCCGTATTTGAAAATTTTGGGCTCCGGGGCAACATATTTTTCCGCCCCTCCCAAATATTATTTCTTCAAATGTAAGGTACCTACCTACTATTTTGGGTCATAATTTATGACTCATAAATGAGGTTAGATTTTGAAATTTTTTTTTGGAAACCTTTGTTTTTCAATGAGTTAAGAACAATTAGTGAGGCAAACAGAATTTGTTGGTCGGACTTGCAGGTTTAAAAGTTATACACGAAATGATGAATTCCCATCCATCGGATAAATTTTTTTTTCTAATCCATTTTTAATTACTAATTTTATTTTTTATAAAATATTTTTTTGAATCATTTTAGTGCATATCGAACACTTTTTTAGTGCATTAAATTCACAGCCCTGCAAATTACTTTAACTTCCAATCATACCTACCACAGTTAATGTTAAATGTCAACAATTAATAACTTCTTCAACTTGATGACACTTCAGAGGATGCCAGATTTTTAGCGCACTATTTATTTCTCTCTCTGACCCACTCACAATCATAAGCGCAACATAAGGGTGGCTGGAGGGGCAGAGTACCACGAAAACTTGTAATAGCCCCCCAAAAATAAAATATTCAATTGTTTCCTAATATGTTTTGAAAGATTAATAATATTATATTGTTTTAAATACTTTGCGTAAACCTAAGGTGATACTCGGCGTATAGTAGGTATATGCAAAAAGGTATCTTCGTATTAAACTTGGAGTGATGAACAGGCACGTAGCCAGACATTTTTCCATAAGGGGCCAATATGTTTTGGCCCCTTTCTATTTGTTGTACCCCCTACCACTCCTCTTCTTATCAGTTATCACGCAATGTTTATAAAAAAAAAACTATATTTTATAATATATTGCATGTATTGGTTAACTATTATATTTTTATGATATATTAATATAGGTACAATTGTACATCTTAAACAATATTATTATACAAGGATAAATCTGTTTGACTGTTTCTAAGATTTACCTACTGAAAATCTTTCAGTAAATTCATCTACATTAATTAATTTTGAAATATGTTTTTCAATTGACAACAGACCCAAATAAATTATCACATTGGTAGGCTGTTAATTTTAATTAGGTTAAGAGATGGCAATATTAAAAGAGATCATAATTAACAAAAAAAAATTCCTAGTTTGATTATCTTTTGAATTTATGAATGAATTATTTTATTTATATTCTATTAATTAATTGCCTTACATATAATACCATTTTTAAAAATATGGAATAACATAGGCTTTGTAGAAGTTTATAATCGTATGAGTTTATTAGTCTAAGTTTATTACAAATTTAAATATTAATGTGTTACTGTACTAAACTAACAATTAATAGCCATAATATTTGAAAATAAAATTAAGGGGGCCGGCGCGGGGCCACTGACTTTTCTTAGGGGGCCAGGCCCCCTAAGACCCCCTCCTTGGTGACGTGCCTGGTGATGAAACGAAGACGGCCGTTGGACTGTTCGGTCTCGCGTATTTTATACAATGTGCTTTTGGGAGTAAACGTATCGTTCTACGTCATCCAGTTAACAGATTTTCCATGGCAATAAATATTTAATTTAAGTCTAAAAAGTAATTGTAAAATAATAATAATATTAAAACAAACTTATGCATAAACGTCGACTCTTCCGGTGAATAATAGCTTGAGTACCTTCGCCGCCGAAAAAAACAGCTATCTTCATCCATCTTCATTTCGGTCCGAACTGAAACTTGAAAATATCGAAATATTGTATGAAAATAACCTGACCAGTACCGGATACAGGGGGGGAGCGATCCGGCCATCCGGGGCCCATGCCCCGGGCGCTAATTATAGAAGGATGAAAATTTCAAATTTATCATAATGTTGTAGGTACTCACGTACATTTTACGTTAAAATCAGTCGACACTCGGCAGCAGTTCGACAGAAAATAAAATCGTTGTACTTCGGGTGTACTTTATATTATGTTTGTTATAGTAGACAATAATAATTTGTTGTATTTGAGGAAAGATAGTACCTAACTCGAAAGCCAATAATACGCGATCAGTCCGACATCACAAAACGATTATACTATTCTAAGAATTACGTAGTTCACCGTTTACTGGAAGTTCAAATAACATTTTGCTAATGCCGAGTATCTGAATAACAGGAAACGTACGTTATGGATAAGTATTGTAGTTATGCTATAAATATATACATGCCTAATCTATTTTACCAGAATTTATACTATTCACATATTATCAATATTAAATTATACGTATACATTTAATATATAGGTAGTCCAAGACCCATGTACCTATAATGAATAATTTTTAATATTTCAAATGTTGTACTCCAACAGCATCATTGCATCAACATAAATAATTTTTATATAATAAAAATAGAGCGAGGCTCTACTATATAGTAAGTCGTTAAAATAAATATTAATTTTTCAAATATTACTTGAAAAATATTACACAAGTAGTATTGAAATTCTGGACCATGCCCTCTAGCCCTGCACTGAATACGGCCCTGGTAGGTCCTTGTTCAAAACTCGACTACCAGGATTTAAATTTTAAAAATATAATTTAGGTAACCTATTGACTATTGATCTATTATAAAATAGAAACTTAACCTACCCATAATATCACTGTATAAGTATATAACATAATTAAATGTGATAACTGATAACCAATTTAGTATAGTATTTTATTAAACACGCTAGAGGTATTATTATGAGGTTTGCCGCGGAACGCCGAGTATACCGCGGCGAAACGCTTTCCGCTCCAAAAGTTGATTCAATTTTGCAGGTACAGTGGACCACTATAAAAATATACGTAGGTTTAGCCGACATGATTTTGACTAGCCCGTCGTACTCAAAAACCATTTGCTCACCGATGACTATTGAATAGGTACCCAGGTATACGGTATACCATATACATTATTTAAATATTACGTACCTATTGTCTATTACAATAATATTTTAGATTTAAACAATTTTGAATTTAGTCGTCACTCGTCATCCGAGGATCGAGGTATGTGTATAAACTATAATAATAAATAATAATTATGCACCTTGGCCGACTACCATAATATTATGCTAGTATTGCCATTTGCCATGTAAGCATGTTACACAGAAATACAGTTAGCGACTCCGCTGTGTCTTCACGAGACACGAACTCTTTTCGGTCACCAGCATGGCACATTGGCACCATCCACTATTATTATTATAATTTTCTTCCCCTTCTTCACGTCATGCCACCATCAAAATATCGAAGCACCGTTGCAATGATAACAGTACATTTCGCCATGTTTGTTGTTGTGTGTCCGTTTGATTAGAACGATTTTTCTGTTTATCATTTTCTGCGCGTACAAGTGAGTAAGTGACTCTGTGCGTTAGACTTTTTCGTTCGATCTCTGCCATTTTTTCCTTGTCGTCGTTGCTTTCCGAAAATTAGGTATGGAGCCACCCGTGTCTGACAAAATATAATAACGACCCCGATCGTCCGAGATTCACCGGAATTGTGAAATGTCGTCCCCGGAGGATTTCCACAATGGCGCTAATTGACCCCGCGCGATCCAAAGCTCCGAGCCAGTCCGACGACTTCATTGAGCTGTGGACATGAATTGTGTTGTTGGTTGGACAGCTACCTAGACGATCGTCGTCCTGGGTAAGTGCAGAGTAATGTGTATTTTTTTTTTTTTTTATTTTTGATTTGCGCCTTCTCATAATTGGGTCAAAACATCGCCTTTTCAGATTTTTTATCGTCGATCCTACTGCAGTAATATGGATGAGAAGATCAAACAGGATGACTGCCATCTGGAGCCCGACGCTCCAACAGTTGTCTCTGAAAAGGGTGTGCTGTTGAGAACCAGTGCAAGAGTGTCCAAAAAATTACGTATGACGCCGGTGTCTACTTCACCCGGACCCAGTTGCACCAAAATAGGTTTGTAGATTGTGTCCGCATCCTAGCCTTGTTTGCATATGATTTAAATTTGTGTACAATTCATACATCTATTATAGACTCAAATGATGCTCCAGTTTTCAAGTCTTCCAAAATTAGGCGTGAACTTTGGTCAGCTGAAGATACCAATTCTTTTTTTGAAGGCTTAAATGAGTTTGGCAAAGATTTTGAATCAATTCAGTGGTTTATGGTGAACCGAGCTAAACGTAAAGGTTCTTGTGAACAAGCTATTAAAAGTAAAGAACAGTTGAGGCACTTTTATTATCGAACATGGCACAAAATTTGCAAATATATCGAATTTCCAAAAGGTAATGATAAATAATATTTTTGAGGATTTATTTGTTTATAATTTATATCACTGTATTATTGTAGAAATGCAAAAAGTAGTGCAAGAGCTTTATGGATTGATCAACTATGGCGAACTTAAACAAAGGGTTGGATTCTGTAATGATAAAAATTGGTCAAAATTGTATGAAATGATTTATCATGGTTCAACTAAAGTTAGGAGTAAAGGAAAATTGTGGAAAGTTAAAACACCTCATTGTAGAGCTTTGAGGAAGCTCAACTGTCTTGAAGGTATAATTTTTTTTTACTGTTTAAAATTTGTTGTAATCAATTTGTATTTCTTTAGATACAATTGGAGACTTAAAATTACCAGGAAAAGTGAGTGTTGAATTAAGGCCTCGAGATATGGATACATGGTCTTTAGTGCAATCACTTGCCATGAATCCTCGTATTAGAGCAACAGTTGAGTTACAGAAACCTTTATCTATGCTTTTGGCATTTTTAGAAAATAGATGGCAAACAGAAAATCGAAAACTTGTATCCTTTTCACCATAATGTATTTGATATTTATTATATCTGACAATATTTAAGTTGATTCTGTCTAAATTAAATGTCCTTAAACACTATATTACTAGCGTGAACAAATACACAGAGTTAAAACACTAGAAGTTGATCAAGAATCCAAGAGAATTCTAAGAGTTGCTCCTGCTACTGGTGTTAATATTACTCCTATTAGTGTTAATTTTAGCGATATTGAAAATACAAATGTTAGTTTATTAGCTCATAGAAACACTCATGGAATTTCTAAAGAATCAGTAGATTCAATTCTTCAAAAGGTAATATTAAAGTTTTACAATAATTTTTACTTTAATATATTATATATTTTAAAATTTGTTAATTTTTTGTTTAAAGTTTCCTTCCACGAAAGTTCAAAAACCATATGTCAAACGGGTGCGCACAGAAACAGTTAATTCAGCATCTGGATCATCTGGGAGTCAAGAAAGTAGTTTGAATTCATGTCCGTCAACAATGTGTCCGATATCAGATGTGATTTACGATAGTGAAAAAGGCTTGGATATTCTAATGGCAAGTCCTCCCAAAAACGATCCAGTTATTTCATCACATGACCAAGAAAAAGAGAAGAAAGAAGAATTTATTGCAAGAGTCAAACAGGGATGGACATTGGCCAATGTTGAAACTATTAAAATTGGGGAACTTTATCTCATAGTAATTATTTTATATAGTATTATTTTATTAGCGTTTAAAAGATGCATTCTTTATTTTTCATGTAAATAAAATATCTGTTTTTTTTTTAGTGTGGTGGTGAATCTAAAATTCAACTTGAGTATTGGTTTGAAGATTGCGTTGAAGCTACCAGTCAAAATCGAATATCCCAATCGCTCAATAAACTCATTTCTATTGCTCAGTATAATTTAACTTCTTCTAAAGTATGTCTAGATTCTTAAATATTTACATTGAATCTTTATTTAATTATTAAATGAGTATAAGCCTAATGTTATGTGAAACTTTTAGGGCTGTTCATGCGGTTCTGTGAATAATAAACCACATAGTTTGCCAAGACAGACTGAGGTAAATTTTGATAACCGATTGAACTGTGCTAATTTTGCTTAATAATATTAACTTATAAAATATGGTCGTGTTTTTAATTTTAGATTAAAACAGAGGTGGATCAAAGTCAGCGTGGTGCATACTCGTTAGTCAGTGGCTGTAAAGTTATGGTTAACCCATCATCAGTATTTAGACGACCTTTGCAGCCAAAACCTTTACATTCGACTGGTTCATTCAAAGCTCAACTTGATGTAAGGATATTTATGTACAGTTTCAGCTTGAATTTATAAACTATTCATTTAAATTTACAAATTGTTAATTTTACTTTTAATTTGAATATATATAATATTTTTTATATTGTTATTAATGATTAAACCATTGAACTTTTTCTGCAGAAATTGCAACCAAGGTATTGTAATCGAACAGGTCGACCGAGTAATAAACATGTAGGCATTGTTCAAAAACTTCTGCCACTTCAACCCAAGACCAGTTTAACTATTGTGCAAACATCTAACTTCAGACCCATTGTGCCAGCAATCAATTCTGAACATAATCAGATAGTGGAAGGCGAAAAATGTGATATTAACCAAGTAGATCAAGCCCCACTTTCACCAAAAAGTTAGTATAATTGTTCCATTTATTTGATCTAAGGAAAAATTTTATGATGTAAACAGTTTTGGAATATGTGATCTTACCAACTAAAAATTGATCACGCTCCCCAAAACACTCAATACACTAAAACTACCTTCTAAAATCTTCATTATAGATGGATAGAAAACAACTAACTTTTTGTTAAAACTGTTGAATGATAAAATTAATATTTAATATCTCTTCAGTCGTATCATTTTGAATTAAAATTCCCATGCGCACCACAAAGACAGAATATGGGGGAGGTGGTTAAGACTTACCAAGGCTGAAATTGTATAAATAAATGTGTATTTATTAGTATTTTTTTAATCTACATAGTATCTTTTGATAATATCATTGATAAAAATATAAGAGGGTTGCTTCCTTTGCTACACCCACTTGACTGTTGTGTTCTATCAGTACCTGTTGAGTTTAGGATTATGTTTGTAGATCCATCTGGACAAAAATGACTACACTGCTTTTAGTAATAAGTAACATTTACTAAACGTATGACGTATACATAAGTAATATTATAATGTAGTACCTACAGTATTACAGTATGCCAAAAGTCGGCCTTATATACAAGTGACCTATTGACAATATCCGATTCGCTAATAATTATATTGCGTGATATGGCGTGATTTTGTACATTATTAATAACAACGATGTTGTTGTTGCTGCACAATATGATGGTACTTTATACAATATTAAACTATATTCAACAGTACCTATGCTGATATTGTGGTCTATTATTAATTTTGAAGATTTGAATTCATAATGAATTTTCTAACCTACTTAACGTTATAAGTATAATATCAAAAATGTGTAATGTAGTTAACTAAGAATAAACAACATATTATTCACATGAAATATTGAAAAGGTAAAGCCATGGTTATAGAATTAGTATTAATCAACCATGAAACATGTTAAATGTAGATGGATTAGGTATAGTAAAAACTTTAAATATTTATGTGTTTATAGAAATTATGTGTGTGTAGTGGAGGGGGAGGTTATAACTTACTCTCGTAAAATTAATTAATGCACTTCACCAACTATAACTAAATCATATATTTTAGTGTATGATACATTAGGCTTATTTTGAACCATAATTTCTGCCGTTTTTATTATTTTAGATGTATCATACTTTTATAAGCTGCACCTGTTAAGTATTGTATTTATATTGTAGTATTGTTTTCATGTAAAACTTAAAAATGTTGCACTTTATTTCAATTAAAACCTAATGATATTTTATTTATTTTATACATTACTTTAAGGTTAATTAATAATAATTTGGATTTTCTTTTAGATGTGTGGGAATCCCCTGATGAAGATATTCCGGATGATGTAAGTATCACATCATCGGCTATAAACAGGTTAATGGACATAGCGTTGCCGTCCATGAACGAACTCTCGGCTCCAAATTTTTCTGGTCTTTTATCAAACTGTAGTAGTTCAACATCTGCTATTAGCTTAACAACACCATCCACTAGTCCTTCTAGACTTTTGAAGGACGATAGCAATCAATGGCTAAATCCAGATGTATGTCAAACTTTAGTTGTTTAAAATATGACTTAATACATCATTCAGCATTATTTTATATAATTATGACTAAGGTTACTTGGTTCTCATCATCTAAATACAGTTTTTAATTTCAGATGGACTTTTCATTAAGTAGTTTCCTAGGTCATCTGGATAAAGAACAAATGGCTGAATCAACAAGGAATGATGATCAAAAAGTTATTTCAAATGATGTGAGCTAATATTAATATTAAAAGTTGTTTTAAGTTCTATTTAACTTATCTACATATTACTAAGTTATTTAGTTTATGGCCTGTAAAATGTCAAACAAAACCAATTTATTAAATATTTACTTTGCACTGAGTGTTGAAGTGGACTTATGATACTGTATATGTATTATATATTGCTACTAACTAACCAATAATGTTTTCTCAACTTTTTTCACATTGGTATTGAAAAATATACACCATAAGGAACTCTTCAATAAGTAAACATTGAGAGGTGATCTGGTTGAACTATTAGCCCGAAGTAGTTAGAAAAAAAAAATCCAGAGTATATAAATAATAGTTTAATAGCGTTTTCATATATGTTTATTTAAGTTTATTTATTTAATTTTAATAGATAACAAATACTGATTTATACTTTTGAAAATAGTCATGAGTTATAGTCATGACTATAATATAATCTGTTATGAAATAGTCCAAATTGTGTCCTATAAACATTTTAATAATAGTAATGCTTTTTCATTTTCTGATTTTTGAAGTAATTTTTGTGTAGCACATTCCTGTTATTTGTATAGTTCATATACACAATGTCGTTAAATTAGTTAACTGCTGTAATGATATATTTTGGAGGTGTCTCCGTAGTTTATTCTCAGGATAGTAAAGAGCCCAGAAAAGTGAACAATATGGAGACCCTAAAGTAATGGCTCTACACAGTCCATTTAACTAGCTGTTTGGTAACCAGTAGGAGTGAGAATAGTTTTGTCACTTTTTGGCTTTTAGTGCAATAAGTATGTTTAGTTTCTGGTAGCGAATTGGATATATATACTCAACTCCAATTAAGTTTATTCACTAATGTGTATACAATCTGAGCCACCAGCTTTGTGTTTAATCGCCGTTAGTTAGCAACCAACGTTACATATAGTATTTGGTCGCCATATAGGCTGCGACTGTTTTTTTTTTATCATTTGAGAGGTAAACTTAGATGGAATAGAAATATAGAATTTGGTTGGTTCTTTGAGGGGTCATAAGTAACAAATCCTCAGTACTTAAAAATCAAAATTGAGATTATTTGCATTACATACATTTTTGAAAACCAATTTGTTGTAATTCAAAAATAATAACCTAAATAATTTTCTCAAAATGTTTATATTAGCATTTTCTAGACATATATATCATTTTGACTTTTTTTTAGCTATTTATATGTTAAACATTTTCCGTTTTTATTCAATTTATGTGGTTACATTTTTTCCACCAGGATCATTATTTTTTTAAATGTTAAATTAAGAATAATTGACACAACAATTTCTCTTAAGGTGCGCCCAGTGCTGATGCCATTTTGTCCCCAAAAATACATTCGGTGGGAATAACGATACGGCCTAGTAGAATCAACCAAATTTCATAATTTTTTTTTAATTGCTAAAGGGAAATATTCTACAGCCCGCATTGATCTCTGGTTTTCAATATTTTATTCTCAAACTTTATAATATGTCTAAAAAAGTACAAGATAAAAAACTTTTTTTTACAAATTTTTTATACAATTATCTGAAATAAAATACAAAATCAGAGATCAATGCGGGCTGTAAGAAGTCTTCTTTCAGATTAAAAAATAGTCATAAAAATCCGACAATTCTACAAAGCCTGAGTTATTACCGTAAAGTCATTTTTTTGTTCGATATAATACACCCTATCAACCCCCCCCTCCCTAAATAGGTATCGTGTAGTAGATCAGTGGAAAAGTCTTATAATTGAAGTGGCAACTAAAATATAAAATAAAATTTTCAAATTTTATAGAATTGTGAAATGTTGAAAAACCGGCACTGGGACCCTTAAGGGGATTGGAAGCGGCGATTTTCTGTCTTTGTCTAACACACGTGCAACATAGGATTATAGACGTGTTCTATGTCCAACGTACCGATTAATCTAGTGAAGCGATAAGAATTCTGAAAACAGATTTGAATTTGTCGTCAAGTCTACTTGAGATCGACTTTCCCACATTTTTGATATTATCCCCCAAAAATCTTAAAAGTGATATGCCACTTAAAAAGAGTAATTAAAAAATTGCCATATTTCAATTTTTGGAGAAGTTTTAATCAAAATATCAAAAATGTGGGAAAGTCGATCTCAAGTAGATTTGACGACAAATTCAAATCTGTTTTCAGAATTCTTATCGCTTCACTAGATTAATCGGTACGTTGGACATAGAACACGTCTATAATCCTATGTTGCAAGTGTGTTAGACAAAGACAGAAAATCGCCGCTTCCAATCCCCTTAACCAATTTTACTTATAAGAAAATTAACGATTTTTTCATTTGTTTTATATACATTTGATTTAATCCAAAAATGCTGGGTCTTCTGGGGAATCCTCCTTTTTACCTTAATATCAGACCTGTTTATTTCTCAGCCAACTCTATAAACATCGAAACAGTAAAAAATAAATATTTTTGTTAATAGGTGGAAGCCCAATTTCAGTGTCTTATGAGTGAGAATAGCGTGGATTACACTGCTAAGTTTGCAGATTTAGCAGCCCAAGTGGCTGCAAGCAATAACAACTGCCAGTAACTTTCATTATTATTTTTAACTATTATATATATTTATTGAATTATAATTTAATATTTAACAATGTTTTGTTATTTAATAAAATATTACATTTTTTTTTTTTTTTGACGTTATTTACAATATAAAATATAAATGTTTATTGTTTTATTTATATTATTTAATATCTTTATGTTATACAACTACATAATGTTGTTGATATTTTTTTAACTTTCTATATTATGTTGACAAAATAAAGTTGTGTTTTTTGTAATATAATATTTAAACAAATTTGACAACATTTTTTATTTTCATTTTTATATAGTTTTGTTTAAAACTAGGTACATGCTATTCTAAATTGTAATTATTCAGTACTATAATGATAATTTCTCATAAGCTACAAAATAAATTAGTAAAAAGTATAGTCAATTTTATTGAAGCCTACAAGTAATACATTAAATAAGTTATAAACACATTCTAACCACGAGGCAAAGGCTCGGTACTAGATATTCTTTAAATTGAATAATAGTAATATTTAAGTGAAATAAAATGTACATTCATACATAATACTGCAACACATATTTTTATTAGTACATCATTAGTGCATAATAATAATAATAATAATAAACTTGTAAAAAGCAACAAAATTAATTGTGCATAATGAAGCAACTAAATAATTTATTTATGATTTAATAATTTAAAAAAATGGGAAATTTTATTATTTGTATCAAATTGTCTATATATTTTATAAAAAGAGGGCATTTAGTGTTAGTGAAATATTAATTCGGTTGATAATAATGTATTTTTCATTCAGGACCCGTGATTTCTTAATATAAATCATCACTGATGCTTATTCTAAATACACTATCTTATAAATTGTGTAAAATATAAAAATAATAAAAAAAAAAATTTCAGTAATGATTTCTCAAATAGTTAAAATGTTTACACTTATATTATATAATATTTAAAATAAATAAATTCAAAAAAATAATCTATAAATAGATTTCTTAACATTTATTTTGAAAATTAATTAAAAAGATAAAGCAAGAATAAAGAATCTTTGAAAATAATTTTATGTATTACTTTTTAAATAATTGTATACATTATAAATAACTACAAATTAAAATGTTTATATGTAGGTACCTATTAAAAACATTGTGTTTAATGTAGCATTTTTTTTTTAAATTTATTAAAATATTTATATTCAAAAATACAGAATGTAATAATTTGCAATATTAAAATTAATAACATAAATTTTTTAATTGTATAAAAACTGGATTAGGTATACTTTGGGTCATGAAAGAACTTGTCTATTTTCACACATACACACCACTATATCAGCAAGAGCACCATTTTGTTGGTGCCTTGGTGTTCACATACTAGTAACCGCATAGTATGAGAATATTAGACCTCATGATGATGGAGTGCAGTTATTTGGATATGCTAGCCATCTTGTGGCGGAGAGTGTAGTGCATTATCTTTTAAATATTTGTATGATTTATAAAATGTATTGTATATAATATGCTAGAAAGCAACAAATTAATCCAACTGTCATAAATCTATTTTATCGTCTCAAAACACAAATATTTTGATTTACAAATTAGTAATGTGTAAGTTTTAATAAATTGAATAAAAAAGTTATGTCATTTAAAAAAAGATAAACATGTATAATATCATAAACATTAAAATAGCAATAACAGAACAAAATAAAATGATGAAAGATTAATATTATTTATAAATAGTTCCCAAACAATCCTTAGGGTGGGTTGCATAAGTGTCCTGTAGCGACTTAATGAATTGTTAACTTTTCTATAAAATAAAACTAGGTGTTTCTTGTGCTCCCAATGGTGAAACTAAAGTTTCTTTAAACTATTGATTACCAGACCTGTAAACTACAGATCAAATTTTGGTTGAGTAACTTACAGATGGATGAAATAATCATAAATTGATGTTATAAACGGGTACTTCTTTGTTATTGCTCTGCCAGTACACCATATAAATGTATCATTCTGCATTCTGTTTGTTATCACCCCCGCCATGAATAAAATAAACAATATGATAAATAAATAAATAATGTACAATAAATAAAAAATAAAAATGAAAATAATATAATATTGTATAATAAATTAAACAATAAGATTTCAAAATGTATTATTATTTTATACATAAAATTTAAATTTAAAATATGTATAAAATTATAAATTTAAAGAAAAAATGTTAAATTTATTAAATTTATTAAGCGAGCCAGAACTCAGAAATATCTTTTAAGATAATTTCAAATGCATCTTGTTCCCCGAGACATGTTCTCCATAAAGTTCTGCCAAATACGAATTCAGAAAATGTCTATTAAACCTAGTTTTATTTCCCCATTTAGCAGAACCCCACAACCCCTCGATGTTTCGGGTGTGCACCCCTGTGACCAGGTAAACAAAATTATAGGTGTGGTTTAAAGTCTAATTATTTCCTAAAATAGATCATCTATCCACGAGCTATACACGATAGTCTGATAACTGTAAGAACAATAATGCACACTAAGTAGTAATGTCTAATAAAACTATATAGCGGGACGATACATTTTATATGGTGTACTAACGAACAAATACTTACAAATGTTAGTGATGGTTTTAATGTATTGCTAATCACACTACCACAAAATTTAATATTTCTATATGCAACACTAGCATAGTTTAACACAATCATTAACTTTGTATAATGAATAAATTACAGAACCAGTAACAGATTTATAGACTGCTCTTTATGTAACCCGCCCTAAATCAATATATTTATTAACTACTAAGAGATTAATAATTATTTTGTTATTATGTTTTTGGAATTTCAGTTGATATATTAATGAATTTTGGACAAATTAACAAAATAATTTTTAATTACAAGTCTACTACTAATATATAGACTAGATACATTATTATTCTTGTAATATAATCCAATATGTGATAAACTGATAACTGATTTGCATTTGATGTATTAATTAAAAACCAAATCTAAATGAGAAGTGGTTAGGCAAGAACCCACTATAGCAATTATCGGTGTATCTCTTAATAATGGTATCAAACTGCTGACATGGCACTAACGTATCATGAATTTATGTAAAAGCTTAATTGTTTAACAAAGATTTAGTCGACCAATTGGAGTAAAGAATTAACGGTAAGATCTTTGTTACCATTATGGCTTCAAAAACAGTTTGCACTGTTTCCTTATCCATATTGGGAACCTGTCTTGAATCTATGAAAGAAAAATAATATTTAATATTAAAATTTTTTAAAGTGTTTAATTAATTTACTTGTTTCAAATCTTCTGCACTAAGAGTTGGAACTTGTGGTGCTGAAGGTTGAATGTAGATAGGAGTTAAACTGGCACTTGAATTGCTGAATTTTGGCATTTGTGGCAGCATCATAACTGAATTTGTTAAGCCCAGGCTAGGCGGAGTCTTAAATTCAACAAGAATACAAAGTTAATATATTAACTTTGTAACATGGATATAATATTAAGCAACTACAGAATTGTAATTTTCATTAAAAAAAATTTAATACTTACTCCAAAACTTATAATTATATTTATAGTTCCTTCATTATTTGGTCCTTGTTTACCAGTTAGATCGTACCACTGTTCAATTGTGACCCCTTTATAAATTTGATTAGCAATTGGTATTGTTGTCCAAGCAATAAGTTCATCCATTTTGAAAGAACATTCATCAAATATTTCTACATGAATTTGATTAACACCTTCTTGTGGAAGTCTAAAAATGTACAATCTTTTATAATATACTCAAAATTAATAAGCAATAATTTGAATTACGTTTGAACTGTTTTATGCCACTTAGGAGTTTTACCACCATTAGGATCTGTTTGTGTTTCATATACACAATGTCCAACTCTGAGGCGTACATATGGATCCATTCTGGTTAAACCATAGTTTTTGACAAGCCGTGCTTGTACTATTGTAATATTTAATCTATTTCTATCACGGTCTCCTTGCACACAAGACAATGCTTGTTGTAGAGCCATAGCAGCCTGCTGGTCAGCAGCTTCTTGTTGCAATCTATTAGTTGAATCATCTACTGAAACCACGTCTAGACGTAAGAAATCATTAGGTAAATCACCAACATACACCTGCAAATGTGATTATTAATATAATAAAACATTATAAGTACTGTTGGTATAATCTTTTAGTGATGCAGATAAATTAAAAATAGAACACATTTTTTCACACCTATTATTTGGATATTATCTTAATTTGGTATTTTAAGCAATTAATGTAGGTAATTAATAATTACCTAATAATAATGATAATAATATAAATAAAATATTTAGGTTATCTTGTTATAAATAGTTGAAAGTAAATTTTAATAGTAGAAAAATTATAAAAATATTATATAAATATTGGATGTTAATTTACCCTTTTTCGTCTCTCATCGTTCACCCTTGCAGTTACAGATTCCATAGTTTAAAAATTGTTACACAACACAGACACGTATTAATTTGTCAAATTGCCAGAATTATCATAACACGATTTTGAAATAAAAATTTACACAAATGTTCATTTGATGTTTGTATAATGTTCTTCTATTTGTTTTTGCCGATACCAAGTTCACAATTGCGTATATTTGAGTCTACAGTGTGTGGCTAAAAAAAATACATACTCACAGTACAAGTATAAATTATTTTATTAGTCACCTAAATGCCTAGTAATTATAACTGTTATCACACAATAATATTTAAATACCTTTCGCACTTCTATGCTCCGCACCCAATCATGACGTAGAGAATATAATTTAAATTATAATTAATAATTAGCATATTTTTTCTATATCATATTATTTAAATACAGTTCTATAATAATGATAATAATAATACAATCATAATATACCATAATATACCATAATAACCATAATATTCATGTGATATCATCACGGTCTTCAAGACCGTGGATTGTGGATATCATTAAAATCTTTTTTACGACAGCTGTTAAGATTTTATCTTAAACACCACAGATATAAAATACCTTTTATATCTGTGTTAAACACAGACTTCTATACTAATATATAGAAATCTGTGATCTTAAATCATGGCTATAGATGGAGCATAGAGCATAGCCTCCATCTCATAGAGTAATATACTCTATGCTCCATCTATAGCCATGATTTAAGATCACAGATTTCTATATATTAGTAGAGATGGAGCCGATGGAGGCACCTCTTCCAAAGTTCCAAATTCATAATCTGTGATAGTGGAATTAACCTCAACATTATTTTTTATCAGGATGTATACGATCAATTGATACCACTGACACAGACTTCTATACTACACTAGATAAGGAACTCTTATACAATGTACATTGTTACAAGTGAAGCTCAGCTGTGAACGGCCGCCATTTTCTCGGTTGGCAAAACATTTCATTTATTATACAAAATGTATTAGGAATAATATTTTTTTTAACGGTCAAATAAAATAGTAAATGTAAAATGACTTATATAAAATATTTTTTTTTTTTTGTAAACTTAATGTTTAAAAATAATAAAATACGATATAAAATAAATCATAATATCATCTTATTTGTCATATGAAATACCATACAATTGCCAACCGACCTTGAAGCTTCAATTCATGACCGGAGTTCGCTATCTAGTAATATATAGAAATCTGTGACCACTGACCACGATTAAAGATATACAGGTTGCACATCGCCCTATAGTAAACCGCTTCCAGACTGATTTACAAAGTGACTATAAAAATCAGCTGTTAATAATTAACTAGTGGCGCTTAATGTCAACACTCAACCATATGTGTCGACATTTAGAACTAATTTTACACCTATATATCTATAATTGGTTAATTGTAATACTGCCGCTTGGAGCGCCACTGGTTAATTATTGGTAGTCATTTCGTATTTCACCTTATCAGTAGTCGATGTGCAACCTGTATATCTTTAATCGTGCCACTGACTCGTGATTGATACTATCATAGATGATATTCGAAAAAAAACCCGGGAAAAAAAGACCTGAAATAAAATCCCCGAAAAATATTATGACTAAATATAGAATAAAATCTATTTAGCCATGCATTTGAATTAGATATATTTAATTAGAATATGTATGTACATATTAATATTATAAACCATTAATTCCTATATAGTATCAAATATATAAAAAATATTTTGTATGCTTACAACTTCCAGTTCCATTTAGAAGATTGAAAAGGCCTTTTTGGAGTAAGTATGTCTAATTTCTATACAAATATTTATTAATTACGTTTTTGCATCATAAACATTTCTTTAATTGCAATTTATTATTACGATCTTACAGGGCAATTCAGGTGGTCCAATTCATATAAAACACAATTATTATATTTATAATATTATGTTAATATGTTATGTAATAATGACATAAATATAATGTTTATTGTT